TTAATATTATCCAAATCTTTGGAGCAGAGACGTTGTTTGTTCAGAAAGAGATTATTTTATTTATTATTATTTATTTGACTGCAAATGGGTTTTTACCCGGTGGCAGTGGTCCTACAATAAGACACAAAAAAACATAAGACAACAAAAACAATAAGAAACAACAGAACAATGAGACACAACAAAACAGTAAGACAAAAAGACATAAGACACAACAAAAACAATAAGACACAACAAAACAATAAGACACAAAAAACATAAGGCACAAAGAACAATAAGACACAACAATAGATAATCAAAATATCTCTCATCTTTTATGGAAACCGAAGATCCATTACCATTTAATAAATTTATTTCGGGCTGAAAGCCTCGTCTGATGGTCGACAGGCGAAAGAAACTCACGTATTTTCATACCATGGACTGAAAATCCATCCACTACCCTGAGGATGAGGACAGAGATGGTTCTTTATACGCTGGTTTCTTCTCTTATTAACCACCAGACACGGGCGGTAGCCAGAGATAAATTTACTATTTCGAGACGTCGTGAAATTCCAGATCTCCGGTTCCTTGCCTTGTTTGTGAGACAAATCCACTTCTGTTTATCCAGAGATTTGATTGGATTCCGTACACTCCAGTTGTAACCATTTGGAGTTTACTTTCGTGTTTTAAGAAAAGACAATTGTGCTACGTGTGTTCCTGCTTTCATGTTTTGGTCCATTTGACTAATTTTAGAGGCTACTGATTTACTTTTCTGGACCAATAATAGGCTAATCAACATGGTGGATGCTTGAAATTTGATCTGGCTTGTAGATTTCTATAGGCCCTATGAATACAAATCGAAGGGACGGAAGTTGACGAACTTTAAGAAGAATCTGTCAACCGATTTGCTATATGAGGCAAATATTCTGGACCGTCTGTAAACGCAGGTTAAGAGAGAAAGATTTGATGGATAAAAAATTATTTTGTCAGAAGGAAATTAGACAAAATGAGGTTTCATTATCGTGAATTTCATTATTTACTAAATATTATTTTATATTTATTTATTTATTTAGTGTTCTGTATGACGACAGGTCCATATGAACAGGATCCTTCCATCCTTTTCGCGGACTGGGAATTAGTTAAATGGGGCATGTAGGATGCATTTTGTTTGGAAACCGGGTAGAATGATACAGGACAGATCCAAATTCCAAAAAGGACGTCTTGAATGACCTCTGTCTGATTGCTGACTGATTTTTCAGGAGCGTTCCCAGATCGAAATCCTAACACGCCTTCGAAATGAGAAGGTCTGGGGGGGGGGGGCCCCCCCCCCCCCCTCGTAAAACATACGCACAGCAGCTCACATACTGGGATATGTGGTCACAGGAGACGATGGTGGGTAGATCCGTTGGGGTGGGCGGTATTCTGAACGCGTTCCACCAATGGGCGCGCTCTGTTAACCCTTCGTGTCTCCACCCAAACAGCATCATTTATGCAGTCATCCTGAACACGTCTCCTAGTCCCACACGCATTGGCCTCTCAAGCGACGTCCTCTGAGCTAAAAAAGACATGTCCTTTTTCCCGGAAGCCTTGTCCGAAGTCTACGCTCGTAACCGGGATGTCCCAGGTTCAAATATACCCGACTCGCGTAAGGCTAGGTTTTCGTGATTTTCCTCAGTCCCTCCGGGAATCTATCTGTTATTCTTCCTAATTAATTAATCATTAAACTTTGTGTTAAATAATAAATTAAATTAAATTATTTCGGTTCAGTGCATGGGGGATATGAGAAATGCTAACAAAATTTTTGATTGGAAAGCCTGATGAGATGAAGCTACTCGGATGACTGACACGTACATGGGAGTTATTTATTTATTAAGTGTTCTGTCTGACGACAGGTCCATATGAACAGGATCCTTCCATCCTTTTCTCGGACTGGGACCTGTTCATATACGTTCTTGGCAGATGATCCAGAAGTGGTTTGCCATTGCCTTCTTCTGTGTGTGAATGGAGTAATTGTTGGGATGCCACGGAGGAAAACCCCGTGTTGCCTAGACCACGGCCTTGCCCAACACAAGTTATAAATATTAAAATGTGTCAGTGAAAGTGTGGATTGGATTTATCTGTCCCACAACAGCGGTCTCTGGCAGGCTTTTGTGAACACGGCAAAGAATCTTCTGGTTTGGGGAAAATTCGGATAATTTCTTCACGAGCTGAGGTTAATCTTAGCTTATCAAGGACTCTGTTCCACGGAGTTAGTTAATTAGTGCTGTGGTTAATGAATTCTTGGAACGTGCTTTGTTGATATATATAATTTGGTATGAGGGCCTAATTGAACATTTCATTCTGTAAAAATTAACAGTCCCTGCTGTCCACGTGTGAGCCATTCGTTTCAGAAAACCATTTTGCTCTGAGACTACTCTGAAATAAGAATAAACCTATATTCTAATATGTAGTTGTCTATTAATCTGAGGTAAAATATTACGAGTAAGACTTAAAAATCACTAATAGGAGTCTACACTGAATTTACATAAACTATTAAAACTGAAAATTATATCTAACCTAGGCTTTGAATTTCTAATTTATCCACGTGCGTTGCAATCCATACGCTTTCATCATGAATTCACTAGATTGGCGACTGTAAGATTCCCAAAAATAAACTGCTCCATAGTTTTATTTAGGGAAGTCTATATAGTTATAATGAAAGCAATAAAGTAATTTTATATTAAATCTTGTCCGTCTAATCACAATAAATTCTTATTAAATATTAAAATATTATATTACAATAATTAACATTTAAAATATTTAAAATATTAAATGATGTTCTTTATCGAAATATTCGATTTACATTAGACCATCATTTTTCATGTTTCACGACATGTTTCAGTTCCTAAAAGAACCATCCTCAGGTGTATATAATTATATAAAGCTTCAAAACGATAAATAATTCAAATACAATTTTCATACATTATGCCAGCGTACATTTTTATCAGATTTTTACCAGATAAATTAATTAAATAACGGGTTCTCGCCGTTTTTCGCTTTCGTACCACCAATTATAACTTAACACTTTAAATATACCACTAACCAAATGCGTTGAGGGATAACTTATTTATATTAATATTATCTTTTTTTATTTTCTAACTCAGTTCGCGTACCATAGGTTGATTAACGGACAACTAAACCATTAAATACGTCAGCATTGACATTTAGGGAAGCTATTACGGTGTCATCTGTTGAGTGTAGATCACACTAATTTCTCCACGTAAACACAACACGCGGATATAAACATAACAGGCTTAATATTTTATATTATATAATGTGTGTACATATTTTTTGGGATACTCTGTATATATCTGTTCGTAACTTGTATTAATTGGACCATAATTTAATTCCACCGAAACAGATTAGTAATCCTTTTGAGTGCGTTGCTCGTAAGTATAATAAATAAAGCAGATATTCGCAGAGAGAATAATTACGTCCATCGCCATGCGCTCTGTGTTCGGTCTGTAGTCGGATTAATGACGTAGTTATTAGGGATTTGATAAAATCCTGGTATTAATTAAATGTAATTTTCTGGTAATATATAGGATATCATATGTCCGTAATAAAGTAGTTAGAGACACTTATTACAAAGTTTGTCTAATAGACCTAGATATTCAACTAGCTCAAGGCCTATAATCTATTCCTGCAGTGTTCAATGTAGCTAATCACTATGTTGTGTGTACTCCTGTATTCCTGTCTCTTTGAAATACGATACGATATTATATTTGGTTTTACGATAAACTTTTGAACAATAGCGTGTCATATACTCATTTATATTTTCGATTCTTCTTGTGGGGATCGATTTATTCTGCGTTAAATTGTCTAGGGAAACCTCAAAACAGGGGACAGATGTTTCGAAATGTTTCAGGTCTTCTCGTTAGTTAATTAGGCTATATATATTTTTTTTTATATTCGACTTTCGACTAAATACCCCTATTGATTAACTTAAATTAATTATTTAAAAATATTTCGAAAGAACGTAGTTGAAATGACATTTTCCTTCCGAAGTAGACTAGCTAATTTTTTAATATACACAGGATAATTCCTCAAAAATACAAAAAAAACAAAACAATTTACATCCAAATAAAAATCATATTTTCGCTTCTAAATTCACGGAATCTTAGACTGTAAACAACATGGATGGGAAGATGGCTGTATTCTGGGTTGTTGCAAGTTTACCAACGTTTCAGAGGTCCTTGCTGCCTCCATCATCATGGTGATAGTCGGTACACTTTTACCAGACAACAACCCAGAAGACAACCATCTTCAAACTCACCGCCGTGGAAATCTCAAATCCTACTTAATATTGATGTGCCCCTGAAACTTAGATAGTACACTAAACACAGGCTAATGTATGTACCCATGTCAAAATTGTCACATCGCGACAAAATATATAGTAGTTTATATTCGTATAGAATTGTTTAAACCGCAAACATTAACAATTAGGGGTAACAAAAATTAAATAAAACATTAAATTAGTCATGTATCTATTATCCCAGTTAACCAAACACAGTGGAACCTAGATATAACGCGGATTTGGATGTACCGCGGCTGTAATCATGTCCCTCGATACGATTACATGTTTTAAATATTTCACATACAACGCGAGTACTGAAGCTGCCCTCCGAAACCCGCGTTATATCGAGGTTCCACTGTATTAACTGCAGTAGAGGTCTGTACCAGCGACCCAGAGTTCTGAAATTTACTAATTTCAATATTTGTATATATATTTTTTAGTAATATTAATTTGAAATTTGAATAATTTGAATTTGAATTCAATTTGGACGGGATAATTGTTTTGTTTTGTCATCCGAAATAATAATGGGCTCTTACGATACTCACAAACACACACAGATACTAATACCAGTTCGTGTCACATAAAATTTTGAAGGAATGTTAAATTAATTTTTTTTAATAATATATTCCGATTAGGATGTATAGAATGTTGGTTAGCGGGTTTACTGAGGCAGCCCCTTGTTTTCCAGAGAAGCGGCGGCTGAGTCTCTGTGTGGGCTGTGGGGCCCAAATTCACGACCAGTACATCTTGAGAGTGGCCCCGGACCTGGAGTGGCACGCCGCCTGCCTCAAGTGTGCGGAGTGTCACCAATTCCTGGACGAGACCTGCACGTGCTTCGTGAGAGACGGAAAGACGTATTGCAAGAGAGACTACGTAAGGTGAGTGAACTTACGCAGTCCGAATTAAGTCCTAGAGCAAAGCTTGAAAGAGATTGCGTACGCGTTATGCGTAAAAACCTTACACCGACGCAGTCACTAACGTCTATCGCATTGGGTCTTACGACTTTGTTTTCAAAATTATGTTCTGTCATAGACGTAATGCTATTTATGTCTTCACAGTTCTTAAAATTACGTCTTCCAAAAATGAGGTAAGCCTTTGTTTACGTGTATCAGTTTCTTAGACTCAGAATGTTGACTAAAATTTTTTAAATCTTTTCATTACCAGCTGACACACTATTTAAGTTAAAATTAAATTATTTAAAATAAGATAATTAAAATAATTAAAATATCATTCTGTGTTCCATATCGAATAATCGATTTACAATTGGAACAGTTACAACATTTTTCGGTTTTATTAAACCATCATCAGGTGTAAAATTATATTAAATTTAAAACTCAATTACAATTTTTATTTAAGTGTGTACAATTCATGGACAGATCGGCAGTTAATAAAAAAAATATATTTTATAGAAATGTTACTAAAACATTAATTTTACTGCTCACAAAATACGAGGATTATATTGACGATATATGTCATAATAATTTCAATTAATTGTTTGCCTTCATAAAAAGTGTGATGTACCCCTGTAGTTTTTTTTTTAAATTCCTGCCTACAGCTGAACACTTTAGACTGGATGAACATTTCTACAGCTCAGTGGGTCACAGCTCTTAAAATTGTACATTTTATCTGATACTCGTAAATCAGACGTGAAACAGTGGTTTACAGTTCCTACATGAAATGTGCATTTACATTTTCGGTTGTTCATATTAATATAGTTTCTGCGAGAATTACGTTACGATATAAGAAAAATTAATAGCCGTTGTCAGGAGGACGAGACGTCACAGTCCAGGACACAATAATTTACATATTTGCCCTCATGACTTCAAATGTCATAAGGTCGTTTCTGATCCAACGCGTTACAAGAAGCCTTGTCAGGTCCTGTGATTTAAAATTGGCAACAAAATTACAGTCCCTTAAGATTAATTTAATCACAATAGAGCTCCACTAAAATCTGATATCGTTACGGTGTGCAGTGTGAGAAATCTTTAACAGAAGTTGCTCGGTGTACATTTTGTATCCCGCGTTATAAAATCCAGGCCACTCACTGACCTTATTGGTGAAGCTTCAAGTCCTTATAGTCTCGTATTATATCACCGCCACGGTGGTCTAGCGGTTAGAACGCTGGCCTTGTAAACCTGGGGTCTCGGGTTCGATTCCCGGCGGTGCCCGAATTTATAACTTGTGTTGGGCAAGGCCGTGGTCTAGGCAAAACGGAGTTTTTCTCCGTGGCATCCCAACAATTACTCCATTCACACACAGAAGAAGGCAATGGCAAACCACTTCTGGATCATCTGCCAAGAACGTATATGAACAGGGCCCAGTCCGAGAAAAGGATGGAAGGATCCTGTTCATATCGACCTGTC